ATACCCAATAAATTCAATAGAAGAAGCCTCGGTCGTTTCACGCCTTACCGCCTCCTGACACTTCCTAAAAGAAAACATTGCTAAAATTGTATTTTTTTTGGAAAGTACATTTATTAAGCTTTCTTATGATATATAGTTTGGTGGAGTTTTATTGCAACTGGCGCGCGTACAATTTTTTTCCCGAAGGGCACCCGCGAAGGTGGGAAGTAACCTTAAGGTTTACGAGACTCCATCCTGAAAAGGCTGACGAATTTTCAACTTACTGCACTTCCCTTTCCTAGTTGAATATTTCAAAACATACACTGCAGACTTGAACGGGCACAGTTTGGACTTTTGGAGTTTATTGTAGCACTCGTCATGAACTTTGCAGCATCTGAAAACGAAATAGAGTAGTGACCATCTTTTTCGTTCGTGTGTAGGAGCGGAGGGGAGAGAGTCAAAGTCTTAAAGGCGCATCGGTTGACAGAAATGGGGAGTTTGGATTTCTTTACAAAAACTTAAGCATTGTTCCTCAGCATTCCCTGCAAAACGTGTGAAGTGAAAAAGACCGTATCTTGTTACATATTATGGATGATAAAGTCTGATACGTCTGAAAACTTCTGAAACTGCTAAGGCAACTTGTACCTGTAGGAGAACGACATTTTTGAGTGTGATTCGGAAGCATGTTATGTCACTGCTTCTTTATACGCCTCTAGTTAAATCAAAACAAGTGGAGAGCCTGTACATCAAGGCTAATAAAATTAGTCTTGATAGACAAGCGGTCCACTTGTTTTGAAAAAACTAAATGACTATAACTTTGAAATACAGCCAAAATATTGTAACGATCTTGTTGCATTGTGAAAGGCCAAAACTTGGTTCTCAACAATGTTAACAACCTCAGACTCGTCCTGTTTATGTTACTAGCTCGATATATTAATGATATATGACCTACGGATTAAAAACGCAGTTCCGTGGCATCAAAATATTGCCCTTGCTTATAGACGAGCCACTTTCCAAGTTGAGTGGCTCATAGCCACTTTGATTCCTTTCAGCACTCACATTTATTTTCCACGACTCGAATTTCAAAATCTTGGCCCATTTTTTTTTTTTTTTTGTCACGATATCTGCCTAGGATTATTTCATTAGTCAACAGATATTTTGCAAAACTCGACCTAGATTTAATTACCTTCGTTATACTTTACAATTTTCGACCTTCGTAATATTTTCTTTTAGCGTGCTTTCACCATCGACATGTTTTTGTCCGAATTCAACGCCATACTAGACATTTGATCGTTACTGAAATATATTATATATTTACCGGTCCAGTTTATCGACAGGTCTGCCTTTCCCACCAAATCCACAGTAGCAGCCATAACCATTGTAATCAAAAGGATTCCTACGGGTAGCGCGAGCAATCAACTTCCCAAAGGAAGGCAGGTCTCTCTTGGACGCATCTGCACTTCCTTCTTCTGCAACGACAGACATTAAGTTATAAACTCTTAATAATAATTAGGTTGGTACGATGACCTATTCTTGCCAAAAACTATTACATAGAATCGCTCAAGCTATGCCAAACTGTGTAGATTTATGAAACTTCAGAGCAAGGTAGGAAAAGAATGTGAAGGAGGTTATTTACGAGTACCTCTGTGGGTTACCTATCATCTTACCTTCGTCGCCGGATTCTGCTAGCGCGTCCTGTACAGCACTGTCCCATAAGACGATCAACATCAAGAAAATCAGCTTGATCAACATGCTGAAACTGTAACAGAAGTGATCTTTGGCGAATAGTTTTTCATGTATTTTACTGTGTCAGTAACATCATGAGATCTTTATGGTTTGGCTTCATGGGATCATTATCAAGTCCAGAAGCAAACCACACAGTAGCATTTTCTGTTAAGTCAAATGTTAACTTGANAAGTCCACGAGGACAACATTCGTACTTCAGGGTCTGCTATTTGTAGCCCCCGGTTACCTCAGAAATTTGGGGGATTAACCCTCTTACCTTCCATCCTCTCATGAATTGCTTCTATCAATTAAGTCCGTGAGCGAGTTCTTAAATTCAATAGTCGGTAACTCCACACTTTGTTCACTTTTAAAGGTCGATTTACAAAACAAAACATTTTTGCCACGGTTACGATATAAATCGTATTCGTACCAAAAACAAAGCCCGGTATGGATAAATTTTGTCTGTAAACGACGTTTTCTCATCCGTGCCGAGCCAGAATTTCATCTGTGCTCGGACTACCTATTCAGTGGGTCCGGTTACACAACGAAACTTATCCACGCCGGACCAGTTTACTTTTGGTGCGCGTGTCATATTTACAGGAACGGTGCACAAAGTTTTTCGTCGTGTAAATCAGTCTTAAGGAAGAGCCGTTTTCGCAAGTTATATTTCACTTTCAAGGCTACGTGAAGTCACCTGTTTAATGCAGTTGCTTTAAGATTTTATCGCCTCAGTTTAGAACCAGATTATTGGATTACCTGTGATATAGACGAGTAGCACTTTAAACAATTCATGTGTAGAACACGCGATATACGTTTTCTTAATTTGCCCAACGAAGAAGAATTCTTAAGGCGATCTTGGAAACGGAAAGACTCTCTATCTTTGTAGATAAGCTTGGAATACGTCAAAAAGTAGAAAAATATTGTTGAGTTGGCGTCAGCTGCAAAATGAAGAGAACGATCGATAGTTTTATTTTAGGTGGCTATACACTTCGTTGATTCTGTAACAAGAGGGCGTTTAATAAAAAAAAAACACACATCAAATTTGTTTTGTGATCTTTAGGATTCCAGCTGTTCAACGCAATGTCTATGACCATGGTTTAAATCCGTTTACTCGGCTAGAAGTTAGTTTAAAAAAATTAATGTGAGCTTGCCTAGACAATACTCGGAGCAACGAACGTCATATAAGAGAGCAAATTTCCTTAACAAATGCTAAGCCACGCATTACAATGCTATTAAACACTCCCTGAACTCGAAGTCTCGAAATCTGCGGTTTGTGTAAGTATTCTACTGTCCTGACATCCAGCGATATCAAGTCAATGACCGGATATAGCTATGTCAATTTCAAGTAAAGTAATTTTCACTAGGGTCACATTGGAAAAAGGGATTAAAAATGAAATATGAAGCTCGCAATTAAAAATTGAGTGTTTGTGGGGTTAAAAGGCGTCCAAATTTTCCCGCCAAAACTGAAATGGTGCGCGATGTTTGCCGACAGTCCTGAAATTTCCGGTTTCTAAAATGGACCCGTAGTTTCCAGCCGAATTTCTCACTAAATTTGCACTTTGAAAATTCTGAAAAAGAAACTGCCAACAAATGAATTAAAACAATGACTGACGAGGTACTAGACAAAAGTTTTGAAGATCAAAAAGTGTTAACACAAGACTGGCTACTCGTCCGTCTGCTCAATTTTGCACAACGTGCACATTACCGTAACCAGAAAAATATTTCCTGAATTTTGGCTGTATTTGAGTATGGTAAATACGTTATCGTACCTTTTTAACTTGGAAAATCCAAGTTGTAAGTATGGGTGGGAGATTGACTCGATCCTTCCGTTCGCTCGCTCCTTTGCTTCCTTTTAGACGTTTTGGGTTTCCGTTGACTAATGTATACACCGTGTAAGGCTTTCTCAGTCGCAGCCAAGTTCAAGTTAATACGACGTGGATGTGAAACGATTTCCTCATCGAGTGAACTGATTACTTTTAATTTTTATTGGCAATATGTCTCATTTGTTCTTTGCATTTTGCACGAAATGCATGAACAAATTCGATTGTCTTGTCAACGAGATGCTTTAATTTACATCAAACAATTAACACCGAGTTTGAACGTGCAAATGGATTCTATCCGTGCTAAAGTATTTGTGTAGCCACCTCCGCTATGTAAATTAGTTATAACTCTTGAACTCGCCTTTGTTAATTTAACTCTCATTTGTACCCTTGATAATGGCGTCATGAGGTCGCCGAAACGTCGGGAGATTATATCGTTTGTTTTTACTTGTCTATGTAAAACTGAAGCATTGACGTAATAATCTATGGTGAAATTGAGGGAAGTCAAAAGATTAATGGTTTAGACACATTTACTGTTACCATAAATAAGTTGTTATAAACCTAGATAGTTGTGTTAAGCAGGTACGGTCTTCTCTATATATTTATGCTGCTACTGTGTGCCAATCTGCTCACATGCCCCTACAGAGTTCAGTTCTTCTGGGTTTTCACCATCAGCGCTTCTTCCTTTTTTGGAGGACAGTTCTTCTGGGTTTTAATCTTCCGTGATTGTTCTCTCTTTCAGAGTGCCATCATTGATCTGCATTGTTTGGCAGTCTTTTCACCATTGCTGTAGATGTTCCAAAACTCGAGCAGTAAATGGATGGATACTGCTAGTCTCAAAACGTGCTTTTCCCCAAGAGTATCT